ATGATGATGATGATGATGATGGTGATGATGATGGTGATGATATCGATCGATCGTCCTTTCACCTATATTTCTTCCATCTTTGGAAATGTTAAATCGTTCATCGAGTAAAAGTCTTTTTCACGCCTCTTCGATTTTAATCTTTTCGATCGATTTTTTTGTTGTCGAACACGATCGATCGAAAAGACTAAGACCCTGATCGATGAGTTTTAGAAAGTGTTTTTTTTTATTTTTTTTTTTTATTTTTTCATCCTTGGTAAATCCGGAAGTGATCGATCGAGCGAACCATTAAAGCGGAGATTACGTTTGATCTCGATGGAAAAAATACAAAAAATAAAAATAAAAAATAAAACCCAGTAAAAATTGTACACAGTCAAGGTAGATATACACGATACGGGAAAATTCATCGGTAAACTCGTGGTAGATCGTTGAGATAGATATAATACGATCGTACTACGATACTCCTAGTTAATCATTTCCTTGGAGAATCATCGATTCGAATAAATTATTATTCCCTACGTTTTTCCCAAGGGAATATCAGTTTCGATGCGTATTCCACGTTGATGTTCGCGTTCCCTGATAGATTCACAAATTTATAGTCGATCCCATACCGTTCTTCAATTAAATGCTAAACGCAATGCAATCTATCATTGCACAAGTATTTTTAATTATTCGATAGGGAATATTCAATAGGTAATATGCATTTTTTTCTTCTTTCAATAATAATAATAATTATTATATAGTAATATATAATAGTAATATACATATATACATATAGTAATTTTGAGTTGTAAATGTATTTAATTAAAAATATAATAATTGACATTTAAAAAAAAAAAAAAAACAAAGAAGTGTGTTTTCTATATTTTAGATCGATAATTTAGGTGGAGAATACATTTGAAATTAATAGAGCTTTCAACGATAATGGAACTGTTTCGTGTTATACTTTGCATCGTTTTTCTTGAAACAACGAAGAAAAGAAGAAAAAAAAAATGATAACTATTACCACATTCGCGATCAGAGCGAAACTTGGCGCAAAGTAGAACAAGAGCAACCAAGCTGCTTTAATAGCAAAAAGGTTGGAGAACTTAACGCGAGATATATGATATGGATTTACTCGAAGAAGAACGAACGTTCGATAAAGAAGCTGCTGCTTCTACTGCTGCTACACGTTTTATGTTAAAAACGAAAAGTTGAGAAGTCGTGGTTATATGGAAGAAGAACTTTCGTGTATCGAGATATGCGAGAACAGATGCATATGCATGAAAATGCATTTAAACGGACAAAAAGATATTATAGGTAAGAAGATATATATATATATATTTTTCACGAGTATAAAATATTATATTGTCCATTTCTTTCGAATATATATTATATTATACTTTGCAAAATTCTATTTCTTTTCTCTATCTTTTTTCTTTTTTCATTTTTTTGTTAATTCTTGAAACAAACAAAAAATTACTGACCAAAGAAGAAGCCAAGCATTCTTTGAAAAATAAATATACAATTTTAAATTGAAATTTATTTCAAATTTATGCGAATTTAAATGTGCATTTCTTGAACACATTAAACAAGAACTACTTTACATAACGCGTACTTGGGACAATTAAATAAGAGATTCTTATTGTATATGGAAGCTAATTTGAAATCATAACACGCATATTTCAACGTTTGATGATTTACAAAACGAGTAGATGACCGCTAGGAACACGGAAATGGTTGACCCGTTCGAAATTGCATTTATGTATCGACTTTCCCTTCCTTCTATACTTTCCAAATGGTACGCAATCCATCCGGACGGTTATGGAAACGCATATTTTCCCCCGTTCCCTCCAATCCCGCACATTCTATTTATTTTTTTCTTTTTTCTTTCTTTTTTATGCGCGTGAAAAAAAAAATATGATTTCCGTTCTTCCAACAGTTTCCCCACTCGTAGAAATAAAATTTATTCTGTTATCGAAAAGAAACGAGAGAGAGAGAGAGAGAGAGAGAGAGAGAGAGAGAGAGAGAGAATAACAAAAAAAAAATAAAAGAGATTATAATACAAACCAGTACAATCTGTATTTTCCATTCTTTTTCCATTTCTTCGAGTCATGCAAACTTTGCAAATCTCTTGTACTAGAAAAATATAGTAAAGAGCTAACGTATGAAATTCGAAGGTGAGAATAGAAAAAGAACAGAAGAGAATTTTTAATATGAATTGTTAAAATATATATTTCATTTATAATTGTTATTATTCTAAATACAAATTAAAAGTTAAATTATCATAATTTATAAGAACATTATTTCTATTATAGAGATGCAATTCTATATATTATATATTTAAATTAAATTAATATTATATATTAAATTAATAATTACAAAAAAAAAAAAAGTAAAAATTACTGTAATTAAATTATTATTCTAAATATCAATTTAAAAAGTTACATTTTAATATTATTTATAAGAACATTAGCTTATTATAAGTATATGCAACCCTACATATTATATTATTAATAATTATTAAATAAAAATTTACAAAACAAGTAAAAATTATTATAACTAAGTAATAATAATGACTTTTTTAATTTGTATAATCTGCACATATGATTTTTATTTATTTTTCTTTCAACTAGATTTACGATTATCGATCAGATATTGTGTTTGGAGTGATTAGAAAATAAAATCGAAGGAAAGTAAAGCGTTGGAAGTACCTACGGGTTGAACAACGAAAGAAAACTAAATGTTGAAAACGGTCGTTAAATCGGATAGGAAAAAGCGCAATGTCATGGAAAGATATGTGATTTCTGTTCGTGGCAGCTTTGAAAACCGTTCATCACGGTATTAAACAATTTATCCACGGGAGAGACTGTCGCACAACACGTCGCACCATACTTCGCGAGTGCGAATCGTTGATTGAAATTTATTACAAGTTACTTTTTTCGTTTGTTTTGTATTTATTTATTTATTTATTTATTTATTTTTTTGTTGTTGTTGGTCGTTGCGATTTTTCGTTCGTTTTCAAGAAAAAAAAACTGGACCATCTCTGAACCCACCAACGCCATCGTCAATTCCAAAATCCCATATGCGAGGCCATAATTCTTTTAGAAACAATCTTTTGTTTTCTTTCATTTTGTCCAACGCGACTGTACACAATTTTTGTTTCATGTTTTATACCGTAGTTGAGGTTTTTTTTTATTAATTATTAAAAATAATTCTCACACATCAATTTTCGATATACTATTCTCTAAGTTATAATTTAATAATTATTTTTTCAAATGGTTGTTTCTTCTTTTTTTTTTTTATCGATTTAAACAGAGAATTTGTAGTCGTTGAGTTTTCGTTTTTATTCCTTTTGATTCTTTAACTCGACACACCTGAATTTTCTCCAACGAACAATATTTCTTGTCTCAATCACTCCTTCCACGATTGCTTTCCTATCTTTCTTTTTATCTTTTCTTTTTTTATTTATTTATTTTTTTTGCTTTTCTCTCTCTCTCTCTCTCTCTCTATCTTTTGTATCTATTCGATTCGTTGTCCGTTCCCCATCGTTCTGTCGTATCAAATATTTGCCCGCAAGGGAACTAACCGAGTATCCAAGATTCGTTCTGTGTCTCTTAACGTTAGTTTGATCTTTTTCTAGTTTTCAAAGGTTTGGATAAAAGTTACGAATATGAAAAAGAAGAAGAAGAAGAAGAAGAAGAAAAAGATGAAAAGTGTAAGTCAATTTTCGTCAATCGAAGAGAAAGTATATTACATACTGAATACCATTCAATGATGGTATACGTCGTACGATAAATATATGCAAAAGATGTTCAGAGAAAGATAAGAAAAAAGTTGCTCAAAATATAATAACTTATGTCAAGTTTTCAACATCTTTTAAAAAGAACGAAAAAAAAACGGAACGATTTATCAATTTGAATTCAGAACGCTCATCTACGAAGTTCATGGAGAACGTTTGGTAAGTAGAAAATTTCATTGGGGAAAAGTCGAAGGTAGAAAATCGTTAAGAATATTTACGAAGAAGAAAATATTTAGTGGTATTATAAAAAAGGCTAAGGTTTAAAAAAAAAAAAAAATCAAGGAACACCGAAAGATAACGCGTTGAATTTAGAATGATTTAACGAATTAGTATGTTCCTCTCGTTTTTCGTCGAAACTTTGAAGACACTGGCTATAGTTCGATCGAAGAAAAGAATTTAGAAACTTTCTAAAAAAAAAAAAAAGAAAAGTCTCGATGATCCCACCTTTGGAGAAGAAGTCCGTTGATTCTTTCAAAAGTATCAGCATTTTCTAAAAAAACGTCGAAGGATGATAGAGCATTAAGAGAATCGTGAATTTTAGAGGGGGATGTTCGTTTGTTCGAACGATCGGTGGGTGATTGAACCATAAAAAGAAGGAGGGAAAAAACAAAAGATAGAAAAATAAAAAAAAATAAAAATATAAAAACCGAACGAACGTGTAAACGAATAACAGGTCTCTCTCAACGTTGAACGCACCTAGTCGAATCCACGCTCTATCTGTCATCCAATCCTCGAATGAAAAAAAAACTCCCTATAGTGTTTCAAGATAAACATTTTAAGTCTTAAAATTGAAACTCTCGTAGAGAGAGAGAGAGAGAGAGAGAGAGAGAGAGAGAGAGGATCGTTATTAAATTAAGAACATTATTTAAAAGTAAAAAAGAAAAAAAGAACAAATGTAAGTTATAACAAATTCGTAAATTTACATTAAGAATTACATTTCAATCAAATATTTTCCATGTTAACTACATTTACGTTATAACATTTTCAACATTCATAGAGATTAAAGTGAACTCTCATTCGAACAATTTCTATTTAAAGTTACTACAGTATCTATTCAAAGTTATATAATTATAATATAAGTTTGAAATATCTGTAAATATATGCTTGAATTACTTTTTAATCGATGTGTAAGAACTGAAGTTACTTTTATTTTGTTTCTATTATCTTTTTACAATTTGAAAAGTGATTGAAACGAATAAAGGATCTATCAAGAAGGACTTACGGAATTGATGTAATTAATAAGAGACAATCCACCATCCCAAGGGTGTTCGAGTTCACAGGAAATATTGGCAGGCCTCAAAGCGTGCGATTGTTCAAGAGTCCTTAAACCCACTGCAAAAACTTGCACACTGTCGTACATTAATGCTGGTTCCGCCTGAAATAAAAAAAAAAAATAAAATAAAATAAAACCAAATTAATCGAAATTCACATATTATTTATTTTGTAAATTTCAAATACATTGAGAAAAGAAAATAATCATCGATAATTTATGTGCTTTCGTCGATCTGTTGAAAGCTGAGATAAAGGAAGGTTTTAATTAATAACTTTTCTCTACAAACAAATAACTATAGATTTTTGATATTTTATATTCACACACATGAACAAAATAGTTGGCATTACTTTATATGACATTCCTTTTCTCGTTTCAACCTTTCTCACTTTGGCGTTTCATTGTGCGAATGTCCAACCCTGTTTTCCCTTGATTTTCATACAACCGCTACGGAACGATGAGCAAAAGAAGAAAGTAGAAAAATATGAAAGGCTATAAAAAGCAATGTTGGTAGTCAGGGTCTGCATGCAAAAGTACATTACATTCTATGTTGTATCGTGTTCTGTTTCGGTTGCATCTGCTTGTGGTACCGGCTGTGGGCACTTTGCTTTTATGTTCTCGCCATATTCGAGTTCTCGATTTGATCTTTCTACACAATAGCAAAGTAGCTACACATTTTTTCACCCTTTCCTACATTTATTCTTTATCATGTGAATGTTGTACAATTCAAAAATTACTTTTCTTTTTTAATAATTAAATATCATTGATAAAGAAAAAAAAAAAAAAGAATATGAAGAGAAAACTTTGAAACATCAACAATCAAATGTTATTGAAATTGCCAACATAAGTTAATTTATGCATACATATCCAACCGATTTCAACACTTCTGACAATTTAACTATCCTTGTCTCAAATTTCTCTACCTGAGAGAAATTCAATCTATCTTGATAAGGGAATGAGGCAATTAATTTTGCATACTTGTTATTTCCATCATTGTGTTGACAAGTTTTAGTATTAACTGTACCAGGGTTATACGATATTTCATTATTACAACTGGACAAAATTATGAATAATGATTTGTTAAGGTATTCAAATGTAATATTATATTACGTATTAGTTGTAACTATTAGGATAAATGAATAAATAAAAATATTAAATCAAATCAAAAATAAATCAAATCAGATGAAATCAAATCAAATCAAATCAAATTAAATCAAACGAAATGAAAACGAGTGCAAGCAATCGATCTATCTTTGATCGTAACGAATATTGTAATGCGGTAATTGAGAACCCATGAATAATATCGATCCGAATTTCACCTGATTATATTCGAAGCCTGTTATTGACAGATATTTTCGAGATGATATTCCTCCCAACTAACCTCCCATGTTAGTCGTCGACGTGACATTGGTAAGAGCTTATTTTTATTAAAAAACAAACAAACAAAAATTGAAGAAAAGTTTGACAAGCGATTTCGAATCGCGAGACTTCATGTTACTTATATTTGTTAAATGAATTTAATACTTTCGAAAAGGTAGTAGATTTCTTTTTTCAGTTTGTCTTTCGCAAATACGTCTCCAGCGTTCGTGGTTGTAATGGAGTAGTAATGCAAAATGTGCTAGGTTCCCATGAGAATCTGTACATATATGCAATTGTCTTCTACTGAAAAAAAAAAAAAAAAAGTAAAAAGGGAATATAAAACTAATCCGAGTTGGTACCTCTTTCATTGTGTGTTTCGTTTTTTATATTATTTTATATATAAATATATAACTAGTGTATNAATTTAATACTTTCGAAAAGGTAGTAGATTTCTTTTTTCAGTTTGTCTTTCGCAAATACGTCTCCAGCGTTCGTGGTTGTAATGGAGTAGTAATGATAACTCATTGAGAATTCGTATCACGTTCTTGCACGTGCCTCATCATGGTGGTATCAAAAAAAAAAAAAAAAAGTAAAAAGGGAATATAAAACTAATCCGAGTTGGTACCTCTTTCATTGTGTGTTTCGTTTTTTATATTATTTTATATATAAATATATAACTAGTGTATAATAATCATTCTATTATAAGCAGAGTGTATTAGAATAATAAAAAAATTATTAATTAATTGATGTGATTGTCTATTATTGTTTAAAAGCTCGGAATTATTGATCGGAGTACCGTCCTCTTCGAGATTCACCTTTCTCTGTGAAAGTTCTTATATTGAATGTTGTTTATATGACTTTTCCAAATGTTGCACATGCGTGCAACGTAAATAATATTCCTAATAAAGAGAATTTAAGATTAATGAATTAAAATTAATAAGATTCTATCGATTAATTAACAATTATTTTAATAGTCTAATATACTTTACTTAAATTAGAATAATTATTATACACGTTTTATATATATATACACATACGATTATGCATAAACCTTTGATGAAGTTACAAAATAATACAAAAGCATTATCAGGAATCTCTTAACTTTCCAAAAGTTATGATAGTTGCTAGTCGTGGTACGTGCACCCTATACCAAGTTAATTAAAGCGTGCTTCTAATTGGACCAAGTTTACTGTAACAGGACAAAGTTTCAGCTTTTGCGTGTCTCTCACAATCGATTCATACGAGTCAAACAAGTATAGAGAAAAAGAGAGATAGAAAGACATTTTCCTTTTCGATTGTTGCGTGCAATGAGTAACACTGAATTTAACAGAAACTTTGTTAATGTAAAATACATTAGTAACTACGTTTTGGTAGATAAGTATATACAATATTGTTCTTCATCCGACAAGCCAAAGATTCGCTTAGAACTTCGAATTCCCATAAATGTAAGTAAGCGCATGGCATTCCATGAGAAATGGAATAAGTTTCATTATAGTCGCATGAGTTAGTTTCGTTAACGGGTCATTGGAACACAGAACTCGACGTTTAGATAAATGTGTAACTTTTGTTGAAGAACTTTAAACGAAAGATTGCTAGAAACGCTACGATCAAGAACAAGCTTAATAATAGTAATTAATTCATCCTGGAGGGTTGGCACGGTGTGTTCGGTAAATTGGACAACTGGTCTATACACACCAGGAAGAATCGATGTACACGAGTTCCGAGTATCCCGTTAATTGCCTCGCGCTTGGTTTAGTTGGGGGAATACGCGTCGAATGGATAGATGGTTAGAGAAAGACAGAAGGATATAGGAAAGTATGGAGGGAGAGAGAGAGAGAGAGGAATAGGGGAAAATTTAAGAGAGAGAGGCGATCATACCTCGTGCCACCTCTTCCTGTTACCACAGCAAATTTTGCGAGAACAAATAATAGAAAGAACGATTTTAAAATAATTGAAACTTTACGATATTATCAGAATATTGTCCATCTTCTTTTTCTTCTTATTAAACTTTTTAATAAGAGTTTGTCAACCTTACTCCTTTATTATACTTTTCTTTTTTTTTTTTCGATATATATGCTGATTCTTGTAAGTGGAACAGCAGAGAACCTGTCCCAGTTGCAAGAATCATCCTGTATACTTATATGCACATATGTATATGTTATATAAGTTACTTCACGTAAGAGAAGTTTATTAAAAGTGACATTTTTTGCAGCGACCAGTCCCGTTTTTCATCTCGAATGACTCGTTGGTAAGTAATTAGCATTTAAAACGAAATGTAAATAATTCTGGCCAACTCTGTAATACTACAGATACTCTTTCTTTTTTTCTTCAAATTTATTTCTCACCTTTCTACTATGTCATTCTTCGCGTCAGAATAAAAAAAAAAAAAAAACAGTATTTATTATAAGCATTAATATTTTCTTATATATGTTTTACATTCTCGTTCTTCTATTATTTTCAAAGATTTTTAAACGTGAACATCTTAATATTTCAATTCTTCAAACCGGACAAACAATATACAAAAAGTTTTCTTTATACAGTAGAACCGATTGTTTGATTTAGATCGAAAGACAAATATCGACGTAAGAAAAAAAAAATACTTTTTTTTACTATTTGTAGTGGAAAACGAAGAAAAGAACTTTGTTCAAGAACGTTTTATCCTATCGATTTGATAAATCAAGATAGGGTAAACCGAAAGAGTTAGAGAGCTATCGTTTAAATTTTAAAGTCCACTCCCTTGCCCTATCGAAATCTCGAGCATACTTTGGTTAAATTATTGACGTTACTGAGAGTAGGTAGGTACTTTCAAGTCAGATTCAGAATCTGCACGTGTCCCTTACTAAATAATTCTTACGATTCTATTGACTTAAAATGATAAAATTTGTCTTCCCAACGCTTCCCCTAACTATCGATGAAAATATTCCTTTTGATAAAAACATAAAAGCCGTAGTTAAGAAAATAATATTCGACAAAAAAAAAAAAAAGAGAGATCTTTCGAAAGTGAAAGGGAAAGAGGGGTAAAAAAAGAAAGTAAAATAAAAAAAATATATAAAGGAAAAAAAAGAAGAGATCTTTCGAAAGTGAAAGGGAAAGAGGGGTCAAAAAAGAAAGTAAAATAAAAAAAATATATAAAGGAAAGAGATTTGAACGAGTGGGGAGGACTTCGATATCGGTGAAACCATAATTGATTTATACGAATCCAAAAGCAATGTGTGTGTGTGTGAATGTATGTGTTTGTGTTTGAGGGACAGGAGGAGGGTGAAGTATTCGCGTAGAGTTTTCTCAACGCTCAGGAAGCGACTTTAGTCAGGGAAAAGCAACCCGTCTCTGGGACGCCTATCGCCACGGACAAATAAAATAATAAAACCGTTGGTAGGAAGGAGCACGAGAGATAGTCTGATTTATGGCGCCAACAGCCAAAGGTTATCCAGCATGGCGCAGGGAATTCGGTGATTCATTGGTCGCTCGGATTGGATAGGGATGCTTGCTGTCTGCCTGCTTGCTTGCTTGCTTGCCTGCTGGAACGAATTCGTTCAAAGCTCATAGAGAGTGTTCACTTCACTTCTCTTCACTTTTCTTCACTTCTCTTCTGTTTTGTAAATGTGAAACGTATTCACTCGTCAACCTTCAAAACAGTAAGTTTTGAAAGAATGAGACGAGTGCATAGTATCAGTAGTAGAATAATTATTAGATAAATAATTATAGAAAAAGTAAAAATATATTTTATATATATATATATATATATATATATAATTTATTATTATATTTTTTATTATTATTGTAATTATAGTTATATTAATATAATTTATTATTACTATATATTACCATTTTATATAATATATTATATAATAACATATTAAAATATTTATATACTATATATATTTTTATATATATAAAATAATTATTATATACTTTTAACTTGTGTGATTTGCACACATATTTTTTTTTTGTATTTACTTCTATTATAATATTTTTCTTTTTTCAAGATTAGAGATCACAGTAGTCAGTCCTTCCCTTAATCGTCCACATTTCTTTTCAAGGTTCTTACAAAAAACGGGATAAGTTACGCTTATCTAACACGCGCATCTCTAAAGATGCCTCTTTTCCCTTATACTTTCCCTTTCTTTCTTCCTGTGTATATATATATATATATATATATATATATATATACATATATATTTTCTTCTTTTTTTTTTTATCCCTCTTTCTCTCAACTTTACTTTCTTTAGTTTTCTCGGTAATGTAACGACGTTGATTGCGAGTGAACTTCTTGCTAGACGCTTTGGTATCGTTAAGTTAAAGCGGTCGCTTAGCTTGTACCTTTATATACATACACACACAACACATACAAGACTAAACGAAAAGAAGAAGAAAAAGTTAAAGCTTGATGGAACTTAGAAGAAGTAAGTGGTGTGCGTAAAACGGCCATGGGGGAATGCGTTTCCGGACAAAACTGTGATTTCGTATCGTACTCGAAGGACTCCTTCGCGTAAGGGACAAACTTCGTTTACTTTTCCATTCACCAACATTTCAGTTTTTTTATTTTTTATTTTTTTATTTTGAAGAAAAAGGAATACACTTGACTTATTTTTAATGCAAAAATAATCTCATTTAAAAGTAGAATAATAAAAAAGAATGAGAAGGTAAATTTTTCACGAGTTTAATGACGCGAAATGTGATAAATTGTAATGTTCGTTTAAACGAATGATATTAATAATTAAAAACACAATGTTGTTTGATTAATTTTAATTATAAACGCGTTTCTCTTGTGTAAGAATGCATAATGTAGGGATAAGAAGTGTAATATATAAAACGGATGGAAAACGTTGTTATTCTTAGTACTCCCATGCTTTTATCATTTTTTGTTGTTGTCAAAAGAAAAATATACAATCCAGTTATACTTTCCCCCGCTTCGTATCTTTACTTTCTTTCTACGTTTCTAGTCTTTCCCATTTTTGTCTTTCCTTTTTTTTTATTACGAAAACATTTTGTTATTCTGTACGCGGCCCCCTTCGTTCCTATTACTCTTCGTAAACACATTTTCTATCCTAACGCAAACTCCGCTCGTCGTTCCTCATCCCTTCCTTCCCCGATGCCCTACGTCGTAGCTTTGTAAACTTTTCACTTCGTTTTAGATCATCAAGCTCGCATAAAATGTTAGGACAACGATTACCTACCTACCTTGCTAGTCGTTGCAAGGTAATAAACAACGGGAGTAGATTTTGTTAGTTTTTTTTTTTTTTACTAAACTTTTGTTCTCTCTTCAAGTTTCATAATTTATTATAAACTCTTGCTTGTTTCGACTTAAACTGTGACGCATATATGCGATTATTTCAATTTTTTGTTTGTTCGTTTCTTTTATTTTAACTAGCATTCATTTAAAATGAATTCGTAAAGAAGACAAATGGTAATAACTTTGTGCAATAATTAATAATAATAATAATTATTATTAATATTATTTTGTATTACATTTTATATCAAATAAATACGATTGACTCTTTTTCCCCTAGAATTATTATTTTCGATTTATAATAATAATTGTTCCTTACAAAGAAAATTTACGACAATAGACTTGGCTCGTGTTCACATTAATTCGATTTGTTTTCCGCAAACTCGGCGATTTGTTCCAAAATCGATTAAAAAAAAAATTTCAACAGCAATTACATTCTCTCTCTCGCTTTCTCACTGTTTTATACGTAATAACCAATAGAATCGTAATAAAGTGAGTTTACTTATTAATAATTAATCGAATATTATATTTACATAAGTACACGAGAAATAAATATTCTTGTTAACGTTCAAACACGATCAAATATATTTGTATTTATAATAAAGTCAATAGAATCGTAATTTCGAAATATAAAGATTACTTCTGGAGCTTTTCACAAAAAAAAAAAAAAAAAAAATAAAAGAAATGAAAGTAAAGGACTAACCAAACGTCGATTGAATGTTAACCGATTTTATGAAGGTAAAAGAGATGATGATAGTTTGTAACGATCGAGGATTTTCTTAAAATGAATGACTAGATATTCCTTCGAATACTATTCGAGGCCTTCTACGGATATGAAATGGGAGCATGGCCAAAACTAAAAGAGAGAGAGAGAGAGAGAGAGAGAGAGAAAGAGTCCACCCTTCTGCTCGAACTAAACCCGATTTATGTAATTACGTGCGATGAATTTTTCTCGACAAGAACGGGAAAAAGGACCCCGTAGTATGAACACGAAGGACCAAAGTATCGTTACGTAATATTTGTTAATATATAGGAAGAAAACTGTCGTGTGACCGTTCCAAAAAAAGAAAAAGAAAAAGAAAAAGAAAAAGAAAAAGAAAAAGAAATAAGAAGAAAAGCAACAAAATTTCGACCGTATAATCTGCTCATAGCGCGTGAATCATAATATATACCTATACAAGCTTCTCATCCAATTTCTATGCAGATTAGAAACGTTTTTCTAAAGAAAAAGGAAAAGTATATTCCAAAAAATTGTAAAACCTTACTTCCACCTACTACGATCTTCTAATCGCGTAACGATGAGAATGAAAGTTATAATACCGACGTATAATATTATAATAATATTGGGTGTTGGTTGAATAGTAATTTCATTTTTTCCTGACACAATAATGGCATTAGTTAATGCAAATCGATAAATAGCAACACGTCAGATCAATGAGAGAATAAATTTATCAAATTTAACTGTTTATGCTCACTTGAAAGACCTAGGTTTTACCTCGAAGCAAAAATTGTTTTCATTTTCACAAAAGTAAAATGAAATTATTTTCCGAAGAACCCAATATAATATCTTTCTATACCCAATCTTATCTAAATTGGATGTAAAATGAGAGAATTTGACTAATTGAAAAAATATTTTAGATTGAATAATTCATTTGAATATAAATACATTTTTCTTGTTCTTCTCTCTCACACACACACGCACACACGAGTCACATTAGAATGAAGAAAAAAAGAAAGATTGAACAAACATTTCATTAAAAGTATAATCCTTTAATATTAATGAATATTTTCGAAGCGTTATAATACACATTTTTTGTTGGAAATATTTTTTAACCGCGAAATAGAAAACAAAATTGTTACTTTTAAGAAGAACAGGAGGTCAAGCGTTAAGTTCAGCCATGGTTTATCCGTTTCAAGTAAAATCCCCGTGACGAGAGGAAATAATAAACGTCGTTTAAAAAAAGCACGAAAGACTACATTCTCGTAAAAAAAAATTACGCATAATTCTAATAACATGATATTATTCGAGAAACTTTGTCGGGGTCATTGCTATGGCTGTCGTCGTCGTGTTACATTCATTGCCGTCGTTGCTTCGACCAACTTTTATATTACTATTATTACTATTATTCCTATTATTATTATTATTATTATTATTATTATTATTATTATTTTTCACGCCCTGCAATCTCATTTTCCCATTACATTCTTTTTTTTCAGAGAGAGAGAGAGAGAGAGAGAGAGAGAGAGAGAGAAAGAGAAAGAAACCCAAAAAAGTTATCCGCGCGTATAACGTTAACGCGAATAAAACGATATGCTATAATATAAAATGAAATTCTATACTTATTATTAATTATTTGTTGAAGTATCAATTGAATTTCTTTTTTTTTTTCTTTTCTTTAAGTTAGTTATTATTTTTGATAACGTTTACGACAATTTGTCCTATCACGTGATACATGCAGCATGACTGTCCTTCTATTACTATCAAACGGATTCGTATCACTACTACTAATACAACAAAAATTCTAATTAAATCATATCATTGAAATTTGCATTTTACTTTTGACAAAAGACAAGTGTAAGAATTCAAGGGATTTTTTTTTCTTCGACGGTGAAACACATACGATACTGTCGTGAACATGTTAAATAAATAAATGTATCTTTTTGTTTTTTCCTTTTTATATATATATCTTGTGAAATAGATCGTGAAAATATTCTAGAATTCGTATAGAAGCATGCAAGCGACGATACCTACGTGAGAGATAAGCAATCGTATACTCACCTGAATAACTTTCGACTTATTCAGAATCGTATTTCCGGCTGGCTGATAACGTTCCATATCCCTGAGGATGCCTCGCACCCCGACGTCATCGGCATCGACCAAACGGAAGGCAGTGATATTGACGAAATTGTACTTGAAATCTTCGAGGTCGAAAGTCTCGATATCCTTTGCACCACGTGGAAAAGAAGTGGCACGAGAAAAAGAAATAAAAAAAAAAAAAAACGGGACTTGAATAGAAACAACAAAATCAAAAAGAAACAAAACCTTCTTTCTTACATGACTTTCACATTACCCTTCCCTCCCCTCCCTTGGGCCCTTCGTCTAGGTACTTTTAAGTTAATATTACTTACGAAAGTCGTAAAGAGGTAGTGATACTTGTAGTCGTTCATCTGTAGCTGTAATATCTGTAAAAAATTGCGAATAAATGATAAGAGTTGTAAAAATGTACAAAAAAGAGACAGAGAGAGAGAGAGAGAGAGAGAGAGAGAATGTAAATCGTTTAAGTTGGCAAACGTTTTATTCTTTTTTCCTTTTACCTTTCGTAAAAAGTGATGCATGTGATCCGGTCTCGTATCCACGATGAGATTTCGAATTTCCTTGCTTTTCATCTCGGACAAGACTTGACTGTAAGAGTCTGGATCGGCTTGTCTGAGATGAACTTCCATCTCGCAAGATTTCGGCGATCTTACGAGTTCACGTAACTTCACCAATCCTGAAACACGTTCAAACTTTTAGTCGCGTTGATCGATATTTCTTTTTTTTTTTTTTTTTTTTTTCGTTCTTTTTTCTTCCCGTCAAATTTTACTTTTTACTATAATCTTTTTTCAAATCTTTCGAACGATTGAGATAAATTCGTTGAACATTGAAAGAGTAAGCGAATTTTTTTGTTGTTTCTTCAACGAATAAAATCTCCCTTAAAGAAAAAAAGAAAGAAAGAAAGAAAGAAAAAAAAGATAAAAAATAGTTTATGGATTTTGTTTAAATACGATCGCCAGAAATAATAATTTAGTCTACGGGTTCATGGTGTAACAGAAGCGGACAAAGAGATTTTACCGTATACGGGTTGACGTTGGGCGTGTATGAAAGAGCGATAAACTTTGAATAGATAAAATATTGAAGTTTCGAGGTCTCTTACGGTTGAGAGAAAGAGACGAGAGAGACAGAGAGAGAGAGAGAGAGAAAAAAAAAGCTTGAAAATTTATGCATAAATTCTTACCAAGCCAGAAACCTTTTTGCACCACATTCACAATGAAGCGAAATATTTAACGCGTGTCATCATCTTATGAGGACAATTTGGAAGCTTAATTTTCAATAGAGATATATTAAAGGTAAATAGAATAAAATAAAAAAAAAAATAAAAGAGAAAATCAAGAGAATGAATGAGATGAGATAAAGAAGTATGCGTGTTTGTGGTAGTTCAATAATTGGTCATCTATTATTAGCTCGTTCGGTTTAATGGGGACCGAAACCCGTGAATCGCGCTATCCGATGAAATCAATACTTTGCAGTGCCTAAGTAATCAAGGTATCATCTCGACTTGTGGGTCTTCCCCTAGGTTCGAGTTCGTTCGCATCTAAGTTTCCTACGAGAATTTCGCCACTCACTCTCACTCTCCCTAGTCGTCGTTTCCAGGAAGGAAGTAGATTCAGGATAACTCAACTCGTAGCAAGTCTTACTTTCATCTCCTTCCTACTTCCTTACTCTCTCTCTCTCTCTTTTCCTCTTCTTCTATTTTCAACCCTCGTTTCTACTTACTAGACCAACCCTACTCTACCTCCATCTCCTTCTACTTTCCCCTCGCAAACATCGAAGGATCGTACGACATCGAATACGATCTCTTCTGCTTCTCCCGGTGGACAAGAACATCCGAAGTCAAGCTAATCTTTCAAGGTAAACGTCGACGGCGCAAACGAAACCCTGATGGATCTTCCAAATCCCTGTTCGAAAGCGTATTACGTTATCTCTACGTCTAACGTCTCTATTTCCTTCTCTCTCTCTCTCTCTCTCTCTCTCTCTCTCTCTCGTAGTTGTATCCACATATCGAAATCTACCAAACTACTAAAACCACAACACTCACCCAACCTCCCCCAACAAACCCTTCCTACTACTCAACTAACAACTCTTCTATATATTAAATATAAATATTTCTTTGCTTATTTTGTTTATATCTTTTTCTTTTCCTTTTCCTTTCAGATAAATAAGCATCTCGTCTATCAATATCTTTTTAAACAAACTCATCACACACACGCGCGTGCGCGTATAGACGATCATTTTTTATTCTTGATAAGGGCAAAGAAGGGGATGGAATAATAAGCCAGTTTGTTAGCGTAATAATTAATTATCAAATTAAAGTTGGAATATTTTTGTTCACGTCGTGAAATGGTTTTTCTACATAAGTTTTCACTCCCCCACCCTTTTCTTTTTTTTCTTGTTGCGGTGTACTGTACAAAATATAAGTAAATCCATCATGCTGCTGTAACTTTAGACATTCGTGTATTACTCTTCCCTTTTTTCTTCCCTTTCTTCTTTCCTTTCTTCTTTCCTTTCTTTTCTTTTCTTTTCTTTTCTTTCTTTTTCTCTCTTAAACGAACAACTTTTTTTGGGATTACTTTGTTAACGCGCACGAACGAGTTTTATCCGTTATAGCTCATAACAGATTGTACGTCTATGATAATTCTAATTATCTGACATCATTCGTGAGAAGTGACTTTAACAAATGATCGAGGAAAGTGGGATAACTGTTAATGTACTCCTCATCACGAGGATGACAAACTAAAAAGAAAAAGAAAGAAACCACATAGGATCGTTGAAACGTTCAAAATTTGAATTACAAATTTTCAATATAAATATTAAAAATAAAAGGAATAGAAAAGTTTTATTTCAAAAGTGAATAACAATGTACGATATCGTAAAAAAACATCTGTATGTGTATGAGTGTTTAATACAATAAGTAAAATTAAATTTGTTACAATTAAAATCATTTTCGAATAAACCCAAGATAACAAAGTGAAGATCGATCCAAATAAATCTTACATTTGGTGACACCGAATCTTCTCGTTTTCAGGTTTTCGAACATGAGAGTATGGGGAAATCGTATGCAGAGGAAAAAAAAAACGAAAGGAGAAAATGAAATAAGAAAAAGGGACTAACCGTCGTAGCCAGAGGCGACAGCTGGTCCTTCGAAAAATATAATTTCTCTAGGGAGATGCTTCGAGAATGTGCCTGTGGCTTTCGAGAAATAAGAATTATTATATATTGTTTTTTATTTCTTCTAATGAGACCCACTTACGATATATATCTTCTTTCTAACAAAATATTACCGCTGTCTTATGAGAAAATAAAATCTAAGAAAGAGAGAAATAGAACTAAATTGTATTGTAGAAAGAAAGAAAAATCTCAGAGATAGATGGATGAAAGAATAGAATTATGGTTTAGTGAAATAGGAAAAGCAATATATATATATATATATATATATATATATATATATATATATATAGTATAAAGCATATTAAATATCAAAAAGTACAATTAGACTAACAACAACAAAAGTCATAGAAATAAAATATAAAAAAAAATGTTATCCTCTATTTTTCTTTCATCGTATATATTGGAAAATGGTTCGAGATAATCTAACAGCACTTGGATTTAAATAAAAGTTTAAGTTGGAAAATAATCAGACAGTTTGGATAGTTTCTCGATCGATTTAATCGTTGGAAAGAATCATTTGGTACTGAGTTTTACATTGTTTTTTTTTTTTTTTTTTTTTTTATTTCTTTGGAATACATTGAGAGAAAGAGAAAGAGAAAGAGAAATAGTGGCAAGGAACGAGTAACCGGGAGTCATTTGTAATTTTTTACTTCTCCCGAGTAGTGTCTTGCATTCTCTATCTTTCGTAGAAAACTGTGATAAGAATTCACATTTACCGGTCTTTCGTGTCTCTCGGTGTGTTTCGCTATTTCAAGTTGAAAGCCGCGAGAAAAAAGGGTGAGCTGCTTTCCAGAGAGATTTATAGACGTTCGTTGTAAAAGAGAAGGTAAAGAGAAAGAGAAAGAGAAAGAAACAGAGAGAGAGAGAGAGAGAGAGAGAGAGAGAAGAGAGTCTTTTTCTCAAGAACGAAATATAAAAATTCTTCAAAACTTAGCGATTCTTTCCCGTTTTCAGTCAGAAATCCTTTTTTTTTTTTGAAATCTTGTCATCCCTTCATTTTCCTTCATTCTTTTACTACTTCTTATTTTCTTCCTCTTTATTTAACTTTGTCTTTTTATTTTTTTTTTATTTTTACTCCTTGTTGCTATCAGACAAGCTCGAATTAACGTTACGAAGTGAGTCTACTACTACTTTTTCTTCTTCTTCTTCTTATTCTTCTTTTTACTTGGTAAGATCGTGTTAGAATTTGGAAAAAGTCTACAAAGTTAGACGTTCGTAGGAACGAAATATCGAGATACGAAGCCGCGTGTTCGGCGTGACGATTCGTTTTCTCGTCCGTGACTCCATTGTCCTGGATGTTTCTTGAGAAACGTGGAGCTGAACAGAGAAGAAGAAGAAGAAGAAGAAGGAGAAGAAGAAGGAAAAGGGAAAAACGGAGGAAAAGGCCGACAAGAGGAAAATGAAGAAAGGCGCTATATAGAATGTAAGAGGTTGAAGGAAAAGGGCAAGCTTATTCGGGAGAATAAGAGTCTTGGAAGTTCCACAATGGTTGGTGATGGCCGTATTCGAAGGCTCATTGCCGATTCTTAGGGCGTAGGGACACGGAATCAGGTTGGCAAGGGTACGAACCAGTCTTCGAAGCGGTTTCGCGGAATATCCTTTTTTTCCTTTTTATTTTTCTTACTTTTGTACGATAAAGAAGGATACCTTGGGCATGCTTGAAGCTTTAAGCTTTCTTTCGATTCGCTTCAATCCAAGGAAGGAAATGTCATGGATATTAGCATTTTGGTTTCTCCATTTAAAACTAATTGTCATTCGAAAGAAGGATTTCAAATAAGCTTGAAAAATAAGACAACAAAATTTTAAAAACTTTACATTGAATGAATTATTATTTTTTTCTTAGGGTGTTCTCGGGTATCGTAAAATATATAAATTATAAAAAGATACCTTCGAATCCCCTTTTCAGTAGGGTGTAAATAATCGAGGGCAGCATGGGTTACGAGGGTTAAAACTTCGGTTGGAAGGAAAAGAAAATAATAGGGCTCTTCTCTCTGTCAAGGTAAAACTCTCTTTGTCGATCTTTTTCTCGATTTAGATGGAAAATAATATATTATCTTTATCATAAAAAAGGGTCACGCGATTTAAATGAACGTTGAAATAAATGAACAACTTTTATATCACGTTCGTACTTTACATTTAATCTACAATCTTTTTTTTTTCGAATATTCGAACTACGTTATCGGTTTACTTGCTTACTTTTTCTTTTTTCTTTTTTTACGATGCGTGACGCGAAGTAAACAGAAACCTAGGATAGAATTGAAAACTAGTTCGTGTGTGGTCTATTCAAACAAGTTGCCAGTAGCTAAAACGCCTTTGTAGAGATAAAAGTGTTCTCTCCTCTCTTGAAAGAAATTTGAACAAACGTGTTAGTCGTAAAAAGAGTTGCTGCTCAAAGTGGTCACGGATCGTTAGAGGTAACAGCTAGAATAAAAGCGAAAATTTGAAAACGAACGAGACACGGCGAACCTTCATACGCGTTTCTATACGAATAACTATTCTCAAAAACAAATTCGTCAAACGCGTCTAATGTGTGTGGATGTGTGTGATTTATTGGGTATATAAAAATTCTTTCAATTAATTTGCTAATCAATGTTCCTATTCACAGATATAACCATTAAATCGACTTTAAAAAAAAAAAAAAGAAAGAAAAAAGTCATTTTGATGATTTAGCCAACTAACTGAAATGAACGAACGAAGGAAAAGTTCGTAGAATCGGAAAGTGACTTAGGGTGAACGACATGGACTCGATGTTGTTGGTACGGACCTCTTCTTCTTTCCAAAATGTTCGATCGATTCTAACTCACCTACACGTTCCAGGAAACAGGAAGCTCTACGAATCGAGTTGACTTATGGCTTCGGACGAGTTTTACTCGTATTCTACCAGTTTTGAAGATTTCTCAGTATGCACATTGTTTTACGTCTCATTATTTGACTTCGGTATAATCTTTCAAAATGAAATCTTATATCCGAGGATAAAAAAGTTCGTTTAATTTCTCGAGAGGTGTTAGATATATATATATATATATTTGATGATACTTTTTTTATGCTAAATTCTTGAAGAAAGTTGAGAAATCGAGCTACTTATTCTTTTCTTCTATTCCCTTTCCCTGTACCACCTCTTTCTATTCGTTTACGCTTTAATTTGAATTTTAATCGGGAAGGACGATCTGCAGAGGACGTAAAAAAAAAAAAAAAAGAAAATAAAAAGAAGAAGAAGTAAGATTAAATCGTCGAACGTTCGGAACGTAAATCCGATAACAAGAGTCTTCTTCTACATCGAGTAGTAGTACCTTTATCCACCTATGTGACCTAACAATCTCACGAATCTCACCACACGACAAGATTATGAATATGCAACATCATTTTTTAATGTTCCGCGATAAAAATGGAGCAAGGAGAATAATAACGTAAGAGTACTTGGCCTCTCTTTTTTTCCCCCTATCACATTTTTTGGTGTGTCTTTCAAGATTCTTTTTTTTTTAGGATGGATCCTTGGAGAAAAAAAAAACGAAAAAAAAAAAAAAGGAAAGGATTCTTCTAACGTTTTCACTTATTTCCACGATGGCTCGAGGGTGTATGCAAAAGAAACGATTAATGAAACGAAGAAGGGATATATTCAGAGCCAAAGCTTCTTCTTCTTCTTCTTCTTCTTCTTGAATTAGGGTCATGAAAGTGAAATATAGAGCTAGCTGCCAAATGCCTAAAAGAAAAAAAAAGAAGAAAAAAAAAAAAGGCTTTATGGCCAACGACTGAGAATTATTACCTAAAGGTCTTTCCATCTTCCCTCGCAAATTTTATCGTATACGATTTATCTCTTTAGACGGGGGTGTGGAAAACCAAGTTCTAACGAAGGTTCAACGCTGATTTCTTAAGTGTTAATTGTAATTTTTTTTCTTTCCTTATATATATATAAAAAAAAAAGGCTAAATGAGAGAGATTTTTGCATTATCCCGTTTAATCGTAACGCTCAAAGATTTTCTATCCATGTAATAATGATATTACTTGGTATGAATTATTCAACTTACCGTAATCCTCCTCGTAAATGATTCCCACCTTGGTCCAGTTGAGAAATTCCATGACGTCCTGATAAGCGCCGTTGAGTAAACTTTGTGCGGGATGTAAATTGATACTGAACTCTTTCGCTTCCGCGTCCAGGTCCAGCCTGGCCTCGAGATGCGGAATGTCAAGTGCGTCACAGATGCTGTGTATGTGTTGGCCGAGTATAGGGTCCGAAGGACCGAACACTGCTTGAACACCGTGCTTGACTTGATGGCACGCTACAAACCATTCATTATTATTATTATTCATTAGAATGTTAATGCATGCACCACACACATCTATTTTACATTCAGTTGTCAGATATTTCTCGATTTGAATAATCATATATTTAAATATTGTTCATTAAATAATAATTATATTATCACACATATTAGAAACTATTATTAATTACGATGTTGGTGAATTTATTATAGTAGATAGTCACCCACTGAGACATTCTATTAAACTTAACTTAATGTTTCGCTAAAACCGTCCTACGTATATCGTTCGATACGGTGCAATATCGTCTGCTCCACTTTGTCGAGGTTACTGCGGATGAGTATGAGAAACATAGTAGTAGTAGTAGTTATAGTAGAAGCAGTATGTACTTATATATGTGTATACATCCTTATGTAGTTATGTACATATTACGTATCTACGTATATACATGCGTACACGAAGGGTACGCGATGACCGTCCGATATTCCAGCATACGGAGGTTATCTTACACGAGTTGTAACGGTTGTTATTGGCGACCCGACTCTCATAAGTTGTACCGTTCATCCTCCTAATGTAAGTAAAATATCTCATGGAATATCTCTTCTATTTATTAACTACTCAGTGTTAAATGATTTTAATTTATCAACATGTAAATCTTTCGATTAAGTTACGAACGATCGATTGATCATTTTGTGACGTATTTTAATGTCGAAGTTATTACGATTATCATTTTATTTTTTTTTTTTTTCATTTTCTTTCTTCAATAAGATTTAAATCTATTTTCCCTGGAGCCGTTTCTATATCCAATTTTGCATGTGTGTGTGTGTGTGTGTGCGTGCAAGCGTATATATAGATATATCGTATTTTTAATATCCGTTCAATCGTAGAAGTCTTTTTGATAAACTCCTTCGTTTATAGATTGGGAAAGTAAAACGTAAAGAGAAATGGAACGAAGAGAAGAACTCACGTAAACGTAAAAAGTACGTCGACGGTGAGGACGCTTCCTGTCGGGAATAAATTTTTTCATTTGTCGTTTAAGAATCTCAATGCATATAACGTTATTACCTCGAGCGATATCAGAACTACCTATCAAATCATATTGTTCAGTTAAGTAGTTGTAAAACGAATCCGATACTACGGGTGAAATAATTAAAGAAAATTATATAAGTAAATTGTAAATTGAAAAATGTTGTGGATATATATTAATAGTAGTAATAATTATATTTCGTTTCATTTAAAATAATTTTTCTTGACTTTTTCATTAAAAGAAATCCAATTTCTCGGATGTGCAGGTAATACCGATAAATTTGAGATCTTCCCTAAGGACTTGCTCACGAAGCAATAACGAGAATTCGTTTCACTTGGACTTTGAATTTACCTGCGATTTTCTAGTAAATTGAAAGATGCTAGTTTCTTGCACAAATGTAGTATCTTACTAGATACCAGTCTGGTTAGTATTATTTATTTCTACAATAGTTTAGAATATATGTATATACAGGTAATATAGTAGGACGACGTTATTCAGGATTTAGGAGGATTCTCAGAACGTTCATTTTCCTTATACACTGCTTTACAGTTGCATGTATGTTAACCTTAGATTATAATCGTTAGCTTTCTCGCGGTGATTTCCTGCTCCGTTACGTTATATCACTTTGAGCTTGTCTCTTCGCAAGTAATGGAAGTGAGACGAATGCCAGTCCATTCGAGAATGTCGCTTAGACGAGGATTCTCCTTGAAATTGTACCTATCTTACCAATTGTCTTATCATTCGTCTTGACTAAACTCCCAAATACATTTTCATCTAACTTCAGAAAGTTGACATCGCGTATAAATCGTCTCTCATAGAAATAAACTTTCAAATATATATAGTGCTATAATTAATTTAAAAAAAAAAAATCAGAGATGATTAATTATTTGAACAAGAAAATATATAAAATTATCCATTTGTCAGATTAACATTAATTGAAGACTAATAATTTAATTGAACGGTAGGATCGTGATTTAAATGCGTCACAATTATAGATAAAATCACTTTCAATATTATCGTGAGAAATTTGCACGCCTCAGATGTCTCCGGTGAACGACCTATCTGCTGTCTATTTCAGCTTTTCCGTATTTACATAGTACGAGAGAACAAGCTTAAACGTTTGTGGGAGAACAGGAAACGCAGAATTCTCAAACGCAAATTGGCTCCACTTTTTACGAGCAATGTAGCAGTAATTTCTGCAGAATAACTTTCCCCTAACAGGAAACTTTCTCCACGTGGAAAAGCAGTCGTTCTTCCTCCTTCTGACAAAGCCCACAGCTTCTCATTAAAACTACAAAGTATTTTAGTCGGTTAAACCTTCTTCACCTTATGGAAAGTGTTTCATCCTAATCTATAAGTAACTTTGGTATTTAATATTTAAAACGTAGTACTACGGCTTAATTAAGTCTTATCTGTCAATTGCATTCAAGTGCATACAGTAATTGCGTTATTGACTTTCTCAAAATTAATAGTTAATTGCATTGATTACTTTATATAAATTATGTTTTAATTGTGACATAACATTGTGTTGCTGATTTCAAAAAAAATATCGATAAATATCTAACAAATATCTTTATTAAGAACTGTGGTACAATCAGAGTAATTTTACGTTAAATCTTTTTCCAACTCTAAATGGGAATCAATTTTGTACCATCCTAGTCGACGTTTTTCCAAGAGTCGCACAATTTCAGTCTGATTGAGCGAGTATTTTTCTGACTACCCTGGCATTTCTTTTTTTTTTTACCCCCTTTCTCCACCATCCCTCTCCACAGCTTTCTTTTTGTTTAAAAGGAACATCTCATTTTGTAACGCGTGCTATACATTGAGCGAGGAAAATATCAAAAGATGAAACATTTCATACACTCGAAAGGAAAAAAGCTATCTTTTTAAGGTGTTCCAAACTTACTAAAGAAAATTGAAAGCTCCTATCTTTTCCGTCTCTCGATGTTCTTTTTGATTTTTATTTCGCGAAGTAAAAAATAATTTGTAACTCTTCTTTTAGTCAAAAAAAAAAAAAAAAAGAAATAAAAAAGAGCATTTTCATGAATTCCATTAAAAAAAAAAAAACAAGATTCTTTGATTTGTTTTTTCATTCCTGAAACGAAGTATTATCGAGAAAGTGTAAAATATATATGTTTCATTTTGAAAGTGCATTTTAATTCGTACGAAGTAAATTGCCGTATATTCACTTTGGCTGTGACTGAATTTCCTTAATTTATTTAACAAATATTGAATATGTGATTCTGCTGTTGAAAAGTTAATTATTACTTGGAATAATTCTCTTTTCTTAGGTGTACACGTGGTCTGCGTATTTTCATGGGATGTTGTATTTAATTTTAATTCGACAAAAATCTAATTCAATTTTATTTAATCAAGAATTTGTGTATTTTTCTTCCTTCTGCGTACTACTACTACTACCACATTCTGACCCTTTATACACTTCCCTTTACGCTGTGTATCTTCAAAGGCTTAGTCAACCACTCTATTTTCTCTATACTCCAACTTCTTGTACACATTTAGAACTCAAAATTGAATTTCCTATTTCCTTAGCTTACTTCCTAAAACCTTTAGAAATGTCCTTCAATTTACTTTATGAGCTCTGTATCTTTTTATGTTAGATTTTTATAGAAATTCCTCTTTTTCTCATCAAAATATTTTTTTATTTTTTCTACAAAAATTGTTTATAACGAATTGTTAATAACAAATTAATAAAATTATAGCAATATAATATATTGATAGCAAT